ACTACTACTACTACTACTACTACTACTACTACTACTACTACTACTACTACTACTACTACTATTACTATTACTGCAACAGCCACCACCACCACTACCACTACTACCACCACCACTACTACCACTACTATTACTCAGCCTTTCAGTGCTTTAGGCAATGCTCAGAGTGCTTTCTTTGGTGTTTCAGTGAAACCACATGATTAGGATAGAAAAAGAAAGAAAGAATTGAATTAATAGAATACTAAAGGAATAGTTTTAATAAAATATCTTTCTTCATGTGTTTAATATAAAAGATTAAAAAGACTCCTAAGATCTGGTTTTTATTATTTGATTTTTATTTGAATACAGGGGTTATAGTGTCTGCAGCCTGGCTAAGAACCTGAGGGTGTGCGTGCATGGAGAGCTTATTTATGCTCAAAGATCGTTTTCCACCTTATTTGCAGCTACTGATTTATTTAAAATTGTATCATTGAGGTAAACTGGAAGATTAGGGGAGGATAACTATGAGCAGTGTTTTATACGTGGCTATTTTCACTTTCTTTGTGTCTTTGTTACAGAGAGTTATAGAGGAATATAGAAATCTGTGTGACTGTTTTGAATATGGCGTATTAGGAATTGATTCTCGAAACAAAGGCCCAAATAAAACATTTTATTGCTTTCATCTCTTTCCTTCTAGGCCATTAAAATTAGAGAGAGCTGTAAGTGCCCTCCACTCTCTGGACCGGATCCTCGGCTGCTTTTCAGGCTCAGGGTGAAGCATATTCTGGAAGGGCCAGAGGAAGAAGACCGAAATACGACTGGAGCATTAGTTCAAAAACATAAACTGGACTCTCCTCCAATTCAGAAAAAAGAGACAATTCCATTGACGTTTGTGGCTGACAAAAGAGCTGGAAGTTGATGTAAATTTTACATGAGAGCCTAGATGAAGAATATAGCAATATTTATTATTTTCACATATCACTATTTTAAAAAAGATCAGTATAAAGTGAAAAAAAAGAGACTATACTAGTTTGAATCATGTGGACTCCTGGTGCCATTAAAAATCCTTTAATAGATATTGAAACTTGCTCATGAATCTTAAAAGTATTTGATTCTATTTTTAATACCTTCAATAAAGAAAGCACGTTTCAAGATAGGTTTAAGTTGTCTACTTTTTGCCCTCTTTCATGCTTGGCTTGGTTGACAGATCTGATGTGAAAGATGGGCTCATCACAGAAGTTATGACAGAGGGTCTAGTGTGTGCCCTCATTTAACTTAAATATTGGCCCTTTAAGAAAAGACTCAAGATAATGGAAGCAAAGAGGTAAGTCCATGGTCTTTCCTTCACTTCATAATTTGCTCTTTAATATAGGTACATAGAGGCAAAAGTTTCATTATAATAAATTGTAAGCCCTCCGCAATGAATTCTGGGACTGTTCTGCTGGGCATAGGCTTCCTCCTCAGACCCTTTTCTCCAAATTCCATCATAAAAAGCAATAATCTCTAGGGTTCCCTGGTGATAGTGATGGGGAGGGCTCAAACCAATCCTGTAAGATGTCATTCAATTCTGGCCCTGACTTTCTTCAGTTCCTTTAGTTACAGAATATTTATCAGCATGTTGGGATGACAGCTGCAAAGCCTATTTATAGATCTCGGGATTGACTGCGTGAGGCTTGTCAGGTATTTCTTGATCCAAATGTGAGGCAGCCCTTGCATGGTGGAGGCTCAGATGGACTGTTCTCAGCAAACTCATTCCTCCTGTTTGTAGGGATGGGAGTTTAGGGGAGAGGTGCCCGATGACTTGTAAAGATGTTTGCAGGATGTTACCTAGAGGCGAACTGTAAAGCATGCCATTAGATTTCCCTGCGCGTTTCATGGCAGGATTTTATAGCCAATGCCTCAGTCTATTTTTCGTCTTCTGTCCCACCATTATCCATAATTCTGATTTTCAGTCTTTCCAGACGACATAGACATTTTGACCTGATGTCAGTAAGAGAGGTAATACAGTGATGTCATTAGGGTGCTTATGAACAAAGCTTTTAAACATCGACTAAATAATACATATAACAGAAATGTTGTATTTCTGCTTGGAGTTTGGGAAAGATTAATGAATGAGTGAAAAAAAATTATTAAATGTCTTCTAACCTGGAGCTTAGGGCTGGAGATACAAATACAAGAAACTAAGACAGGTTTTGTCCTCATAGGGCTTATAATCTAGAAGGAGAAGGCAACATATAGGGAATGGTGGATGAGGCAGAGCATTTTGATTTGGGAAGTCACAGGGATCATGGGTGGATTCATAGGACAATTGGTAGATGCTTCCTATATAAGAATAATAGTGTCAGATTGACTGCTGTTCTCAGAATGGCATGAGGTTGTCCAACGTACATCATGGCAGGTCTAGATCACAGGGAACTCTCACCAGGCAGAACTTCAGGCCCCAGGGCAGACGCTGCCATGCTGGATGCCACCAGAGGGCGGAGCAAGTAGATGAGATGGTGTACCATGAGGATCACTGGTGTGCAGAATTAAGTGGACTAAAAGAATGTATTTGTATGTACATGTGAAGATGTAGCATGTTGTTAACATCCTTGCATGTTTTGTATTTACATGCATGGCTTGTTTTTACACCTATAGACCTTAAAGACCAGTGACTGGAGAAGCAGCATGGATGAGAGAGTGGGCCTCAGGGTCTCAAAGACCTGGGTTCTCTGACACATACTAGCTGTGTGGCCCTAGGCCTCGGCTTAAATCCTTCAGTCCTCTAGGCAACTCTCTGAAACCCTCAGTTGCAGAATTGTTGATCTACCTTGCTGGGGGGAGTTCCTTACAAGGAAGTCTTAGACTGATGAAATTGTGGATTCAGGAAAACACAACAACACACAACAAAAAACCCTAAAAAGCCAGTGGATCTTCAGTGCATTTGGTCAGAGTGTGGGGCTAAGATAATGTTAGGTTACAGCTTTCCCATTGGTATCCCCACTATCCCCCAGAAGTAACCCTCGTGTCACCCCTGAGCACAGAGGCTGGTGAGGATGGTGATAAAGGAAGGGCTATGATGTGATCCAGAAGAGTGAGAGAGACAGACTGGTTAACCAATTCACCAAAGCAACAGCAGCCCCACCCACGAGGAAGAGAAATACAAGGCCAAGGGTAGTCAGAGACTAACTATGGAAGTCACAATTGCCCGTCCAAATTGGCGGCTAGGTGGTATATCTATATAGAACACTGGACCTGGAATCAGGAATACTTGAGTTTGAGCCTCAGACAATTACTAGTTGTATGACCCTGGGCAAGTCACTTACTCAATGCCTGCCTCAGTTTCCTCAGCTATAAAATGGGAATGATAATAGCACCTATCACAGGGTTGTAGTAGGGATTAAATGAGATATTTGTGAAGTGCTCAGCACAGTGCCTGGCAAATAGCAGGCACTTACTAAATGCTTGTTTCTTTTCTTAACGGTGGTTTGTTGTCGTTTTGCATTGATGGTGTAATTGCCATAAAGTCTTCTATACATTATGTCATTTGATCCTCATAACAACCCTGTGAGATAAATGCTATTATTATTCCTATTTTACAGTTGAGGAAACTGAGGCAAAGAGTTCAAGTGACTTGCCTAGGGTCCCACAGCTAGTAAATGGCTGAGTGAGGCAGGATTTGAACTCAGATTTTCCTGATTCAAAGACCAGTACTCTGTCTGCTGTTCTGTCTCACCTCCATAACATCTAAATTGCTCTTTGAAATTTTTTAAATTTTTAATCAAAAAACCCACCCCTTCCCTTCTTATTTTGAGAAAGAGAAACCAAATTCTTGCAACAAATACGCATAGATAGTTCTTTTGAAGTTTTGTAAAGAACTTAACATATATTAACCTCATTCGATCCTCTGAAAGGGCAAGATGCCATACGAATGTGAATTATGTCTAGGTGATTCAGCATGGCGCAGGGTTGGATGTGGAGAGGAGAGCCTACATTTTAGTCTTGGCTTTTGTGCATTCTCCACGTCTGAGCCTGGGCAAGTCATTTGAAGGCATGAACGAGCATTTCTTCAGTTCCTATGGTACGCTTGGCACTGGGCATACGTACAGGAGAGCGGCAGGCCCTGCTCTCAAGGAGCTTACATTCTAACGGGGGAGACAACACATAGGAGGGAGTGGTTGCCAAAGAGGGGTGAAGTTGCTCAGATGGTGAGTAGAACCAAGGTGTCGCTGAATGATGCAGCCTTTCCAAAAGCAGTATTGGTGTTGATTTGATCGCTGCTCACAGGTGGGAAGAGGTGGAGCTGGGTGGGGCATGAAAGCCTTTGGAGCCTTCTAGGTACAGTGGGCTCTCACCAACCAACACTCTGCCAGGGCAGGAGCTGGCTCCTCTCTGGGCCTCAGTTTTCTATTTATAACATGTAGGAATATATCATCTTCAAGATTCCTTCTGGCTTGGAATCCTATTATTTTACTATTGTTTAAAACAAATGACCTAGCATAAAGCTTTAGTTTTTGTGTGAAACTGCTGTCCTTGTATCTAGGGAAAAGAAATCATGATAATCTATTCAGAACCAATCTGACTTCTCTCTGAAACTGGCAAAAATAGCATAGTATGGATTTGACCTTAATAAACTTATGTACTGAACTAATTAGAATGGGAGGTCTTGAGGGCAGGACCAGTCTCTCTCTTTTTTTTTCTGGCTTGCCCAGCATTTAGAATGGTGCTTGACACATAGTAATCACTTAATAAATGCCTTTCCTTTGATTATTTCATCTGTTCATTTGTAGGGCATGACCCTCCCCCTCATCCTATTTTGAAAAATGAGTATGATAATGATATAAGTATTTCAGATCTAAAGGATCAGCCTTCTATCGTTCTAAGACAGACGAATAAGAGAGACCAAATTATGTATAAATCACAGGACGTTATGAGGATCCCCGGTTCCGTGTTCAGGTAAGGCCACTAAACCACCAATCGTCACCATCACCATTACCATTGTCATCATCATCATTTAATGCTTTAAAGTTTGCAAGGCACTTTATATAAATTATCTCATTTGATTCTCACAACAGTTTTGTGAGGTAGATACTAAAAATACTGTTTTCCTCATTTGACAAATGAAGAAACTGAGGCTCAGAGACGTGAATTGACTTGTGGCTCAGCTGTAAGTGCCAGCAGCAGGATGTGACCCTGGGTCTCTTCTGTTTCAAGTCCAGTGCTCTTCCCATTAAGCTACACAGCCTCTTACAAATCATGCAGGTCTTTATTTAAAAAAAAAATCTTTTTGAGTTTTTTAATATCACCTTCCTTTTTAAATATGCTTCCTCCTCCCTACCCCAGGGAGCTCTTCCATGTAACAAAGACTGAAAAAGAGGAAAGAGTGGTGAGGCTAACCCATGCCTCAGGATGGAGCCTGACAGTTTATGCACCTGTTCCACACCCAGCGTCTGTTGTGTGCATTTTCTCAGCTGGGTCATTGTAATCACAAAATATCCAGTTTCATGTTGTTTTTCCTCCTCATTTGCATTGTTTTAGTCACTCTGTATATGTTGTTTTGTGTGTTATTTTTACTTTGCTGTGTATAAGTTCATGTCTCTAAATTCTTCATTGCTATCATTGGCCGTTCCCCCATGGTAGGGCATCTGTTTTGTTTCCAGGGCTATGCCTTGTTTCCAGGGCTATGCCTTTATTTTTGAAGATTGGGAAATTAGCTCAGAGGAGGGAAGTAGCTTGTTCATGGTCACCCACACAGGAAGTATCAGCACTGTAACTCAGGCCCTGGTCACGACAGACTTATCATAGCTTGACTCCCTTACTAGAGGATCTGTGTTGTCTCTACCACATGTGTCTATCACATGTATGCCTGGCTATTGTCGTACTCTAGGTTTCAGCCCACTCTTTCTAGAGTGATAAGTGAGTGGCTAGAAGACTGAGTCCCAGATTTATGTTTTGTAACTTTCTCTTCATACTATGCCCTCTTAGTAAATACCTTTGCTAAGACCTAATTGAGATGACTGGCTGATTGTTAATGAGAAGCATCCCAATGGGGGCTCATGAGCTACAATAATAAGAATAGCCTCAAATGCTTTACTTG